ACCAAAACCACTTCCATATCTTGAGAATTGAGAGAAATATGCTCTTGTGACCAATAGGAACAAGGCCTTGCCATGCCAATTCTTCCAAAACCAATCCAATAGTGAGGTTTGAACTTCTCAAGCTTTATTGACTAGGGCATGGACATAAACTCATGAACCCATGGGGTAACTTGTTAAATCTCATTGCCTTTACATATATGGATAATAAGCAAGACAAACCAACATTACATTTTATTAGTTAAGTGAAGAAATCAAAACAATATTCATGATCACAAAAGGAACATAAGTCAACGTGCTTGGTAATCTATCAAAAGGGCAAAACTAAATGTAGGGAGGGGAAACAAGAATCCTAGTGTGATCTTGTTGTGAATGAATCAACATGGTATGATGAAGGGATCTTAGGGGCAAAAATTGGGGTACAACACGTTGCAATAAGAGTAATTTATTCTCTCAGGTGGGCTAAAAACTGAGGGAAAAAGTCATTATTTTATTTATTTTTTATTTTATTTTTTATTTAAAAAAGAAACAACTTATTACCTCAGTGTTCATAAATATCCGAGGAAAAAAGTGATGTAATTTTTGTTATAAATGAATCTTTCTCATTCATGTTTTCATTATCAATGTTCAAGATTTTGTCAACTCATCAATCCACGAGAAACTTTAGTGATCCACGTGATATCCTCTTGCTAGCCAATCAAATGTGAATGCCCCAAATATATTTCTTGAATGCTATGTTGTGAGTGCTAAACATTTACAATTAAAAATTAATATTTTAAAAGGTGAAACTCAAAGAAATATGGAAACAATCTCTCTAATGGATTGCAAGTGCAAAATAAATCTTGGTCCAAAGTTAATGTTTCTTACATAATATCTTGTCTTTTAACATGATAAATTATTTTTCTTATCTAACATTTGTAAACATTTTACTAGAAATAAATACATGCAAAGTCGTTGAAAATATCTTGCATACACACATGGGTATACAACAAAAATCTGACATTTGATCTTTCCCAAGATTAAGAAGGATGGTGATGCATAAGCTGCTGAATTTTTAAACAAATTTGTATTTGTATATTAAAACAAAAATAATTAATAATTTAAAATTTTGTATTTTAATAAACACACGGGATATATATATATATATATATATATATATATATATATATATATATATATATATATATATATATATATATATATATATATATATATATATATATATATATATATATATATATATATATATATATATATATATATATATATATATATATATATATATATATATATATATATATATATATATATATATATCAACTTCGACTAATTTAACAATTGTTAGAGAAAGTAGTGTATTTTCAAGAAAATAAAAATTATGTTGTTAGGGATCGAACCAATGGCTAGTAAAAATTTCTCTTCTGTTAAATGTTCTACCAATGAAAAAAGTTTCGCACTTTCTATGACATGCTTTTTACATCGTCCACGAAAACGGTATAAAAACACTTTACCAACCGAGGTCGTATGACTTATTCATAGTGGTGTCACGATATAAAATAAAGGAGAAAACTTATATACAATTCATTGGGTGTGATTTATACTATTTTCTAACGAAAATATGAAAAGTATATAATTTCCTCTAACATATATGCAATTTCCTTCTATTTTTACTCCCTAAATGATATTTAAGTATATTTGACATATTTTCAATAGAAAATAGTATAAAGCAAACCTAAGAAATTGTATCTAAATTTTCTCCTAAAATAAAAGCTAGCTTAACATATTTTAAATACTATTATTCAAAACTAAAAAAAAAATTAGTTCATACTATCTTTTAAAATTAAATTAAATATCATTTGTCATAATATTGTTTCAAAGTTGTGAACATAATTAGAGTTTTTAATTTAATATATGACATATCTTCAGTTAATTTTGTTGATATTACAGTTACTTTGATGTTTTATATAAATCATAATTTATAAATATTGTAATATATATGGTGAAATCGAACCAAGAGGTACGTGTGAAGTCAAAGCAGTCATAAGAATAGTTAAGAAGAATGGACCAAATTTTGGGAAGCTCTTTTAGGGCTGTAGAAACTTTGTGATACATTTATTGTTATATTCTTCTATGTCATTTATGGTTTTGTATAATTTAGCTGATGAGTTATGGATATAATATGTTACAGAGTTGTGGTAACTATGGATGAAACTTTTTTGATCGGTGTGAAAAAAGATAATGAAGAAATACAACATCCATTAATTTCTAAATGTTCAAAATGTGAGACAAAGAATTCAGGAGTCAACACACTTAGAAGATTCATTAAAAACAACCATAGAGACGACAACTACACTAAACAGATGATGAAGAATATGTTGAAGATGCTAGTCTTTCTTCATAATGTTTTTACTTTTTATTATTGTAGTGTTGATGTGTCTTTTGGTCAAGAAGTGGCTATTATATTATTTGTTGTTAATTTTAAGCAAAAAGCACTTTGGTTATGCATTAAGTACTTGGATTAAGAAAAATAGACTATGTTCTATGTTAGTAATGTTTGGATGTAAGTTGTACATTATTAATATAATGCAGTAAGTTGTTAGGGTGTAATTTTGCACTTTGTTTCTATAATGGGGATGTTTATATTCTGTCAAATTTTATGTTGCAGAGTGAAATTTTGAATTTTACTGTTGTTACACCAAAACAAAAGTCATATTTGTCACCATAAAAGAAACATAAATGACATATTTGTTACATATAATAGAACATAAAGGATTTATTTGTTACACAAAGGAAAACATCATGGGCGTAGTTGTTACAATATGGTATACCTTAAAACCTATAAATTAAAACTGACTTCTTTGTAAAACCTGATAAATGTAAACATAATGAACCAGAAGAAGGCTAAGGCTAGAATTTCATTGATATGACCATATATGGTCCCAAAATAAGGCCATAATACATTAAAAACATATATAAGGCCAAAATTAATCCAAAGTACATCTAAAATACACAGTCATTAAGGCCAAAGTTCATCAAAAATCTGCCAAAATACAGCAAAAAAACATAAACCTAAAACTCATCCAAAATACATGTATTGTTCACAGACTAATTGTGGTTTCTCCTTGTGGGCAGCTTTGGCATGGTGCTTGTTGGTGGTTGAAATGCTGCACTTTTTCCCTATTTTTCTCTTCTAAAAGTTAAACCCCCAAATAACTTGCTTGTTGATGATGGTTGTGATTGCCTTGTTTGGACTTTTTGGGCTTGGTTTTGGATTGATTGTGAATGTCTTGTCTATACTATTGTGGTTGGTTGTTTTTGGGCATGTGTTGATTGGATTTGTTGTGGTTAGGTCTATTATGGTTAGGCTTGTTTTGTTGGGTCTGTTTTGGTTGGGATTGTGTTGGTTGGGCTTGGGATTGTGTTGGTTCTGTTGGTTGGGTTTAGGAGTGTGTTGGTTGGCTTTGTTGTGTTATAGTGTTGTGTTGGTGCATTTGTGCATGAGGATTTATTATGGGCAGATTTATCACACACTGGGTATTTATTTGGTAGCCTTTTCCCACTAACAATTGTTGTATCTCTTCTCTTTTTATCAGCCTCTCTGTTTCTTCTTCTTTTTGGCCTCCTTGGTGCTCTTCTAGATGGTGGTGGAAATATGTTGGAATATGAGGTCTCTTCCTATAAGTTTTCACTATTGGTTGGATAAATGAGTGGTCTATAGCAATCCATATAAGTCTCCTTCCTATATAATGGCTGAATGTAGTTAGTTAGGTCTTCATGTTTACTTTGGATGCATGTAATTGCATGGTAGCATGGTGTGCCATTGAGCATTCAACTCTTACAAGAGCAATGCATCTGCTTCAGATCAACTATGAATTTATCTTTGGTCACATTTATGTGCCTTACTTCATAAAGCATGTTACCGGATAATCTTTTGCACAATTAATTGACGAATTCTTCTCGTTCTTGCTCAATTTCCTCCAGTTGTTGTTCAATTGGTTGGACTTTTAAATTAATTGTGTTGTTTGAATTTGATCTCAACAACTCATGTGTGTAGTCATACAATCTACAAAATTTCTCCTTGAATGACCCTTCTACTAAATTAATTACTACCTTTATGCCCTATAAGCTTTCATCCTACTCATACCAGTATTCCATTTCTAATGCACTTTCTCATAAATTGCTGAAAGTTTCACATTTAGATTAATTTTAATCGTTGAGTACAACTTCTTAATAACTAATTAGTGTTAAACATTCTAACATTAAACTCCTTATTGCATATGTAACTGCCAATAAGTTTTCTAAGTTGTCATGTCTCCTCATTTGAAAATTTAGAAAATAAAGCAACTCATTCACACCCTTTCTTGTATCCCACTTTAACCCATATCTTATCATTCTTAATAAATCGTAAATCTTTACCGTTATGAACATCATAATTTAAAATTGCTTCTTTGAACTCCTTATATATATATATATATATATATATATATATATATATATATATATATATATATATATATATATATATATATATATATATATATATATATATATGTGAATTTCGCTTAAATGGCCATTAGATTACACGACGTGAATATGTAACATATAAAAATGTGGCAAGTGGTAATTATCTTCAATAGTTTCCTAAGATAAGAGGTAATTTTAATCGACGACAATAAGAATATTTGATTTAAATCTAATAAGTTGTGATAATATATAATAATGTGATGAGATGAAATGATGTGAATGAACACAATTTTATTTAGGTTAATAATTCCTAATTATTGCACCCCAATAGTTTGGATTAGATTGATTAATTAAATACTTAACTATAATACAAAAATGTGTTAGAAAAAAATAGTATTATTTTGCTACATGGTATAGTTGTTCTCTTCATACATGTTTATTATTATTATGAGTATATTTCATAAGACAGACGACACATGCCATAACGTTACTCACTCTGAGTCTTTTGTTGTTGTTCCAGAAACTCTCAATTGACCACCATGTCCTTTTCCACCAAAACATTCATCATCTACCTCGTATCCGCTTTCTCCGTCGCAATCCTCTCCGCTCTTTACCTCACCCAAACAACCAACCGCCACGAAAAACCATCTCTATCTCTTCCTCTCAACCCCCTTACCGGATCCAAAACCGTTCAAACATGGCCCGTATGTTAATATCACTCACTCACACAAACCTTCTCAGGTAGTTATTCTCTCGAATATGTCGCTGGTTCGGTTAAACTCATTAACCATGTGTTGTTTTTCAGGAACTGAAAGCTAGTTGGAGACTTGGTTTGGCCACAGTTATTGGTTTTCTAGGATCTGCGTTTGGAACTGTTGGTGGTGTTGGTGGTGGTGGCATTTTTGTTCCTATGCTTACTCTTATCATCGGTTTCGATACCAAGTCTGCTGCAGCTCTTTCCAAATGTAGTAATTCAAACAATATAATGCCCCGTTTTTAATGATTTGTTTCTGAAGTTGTTTATGTAACCAAGTTTTTTGTTGTGTTTAAGGTATGATAATGGGAGCATCAACATCTTCTGTGTTTTATAACCTACAAGTTCGTCATCCGACGAAAGATGTTCCGATATTGGATTATGATTTAGCTCTTCTTTTTCAACCTATGCTTATGCTTGGTATAACTGTTGGTGTTGCTCTTAGTGTTGTTTTTCCTTACTGGCTCATCACTGTTCTTATCATTATTCTCTTCATAGGTTGGTTTCTCAGTGCTTTCATTTAATCACTTTTTCATTTAAGTTCAAAATTGAAATATTTACTGTTTTTTTTTATAGGAACTTCTTCAAGGTCTTTCTTCAAAGGAACTGAGATGTGGAAAGAAGAAACTCTTCTCAAAGTAAAAGTTTCTTTCTATTTTGTGGAAATAATGCTTATACCGAGAATGTTGATTATATATACTCAACGTTTTTTTCTTCGATTTTGTTAATTGCAGAAAGAAATGGCTCAAACACAAGCAGCTTTTGTTAATTCTCGTGGTGAACGTAAGAAAATTTTACTTATTTCAAATTTATGTATTAGTATTTTGAAATGAATCTGGATCGATATTTGGTAACTTTTTTCATGGATTATGCAGTTCTAATTGACACGGAATATGATCCATTGGTACCTAGAGAAGAGAAGACACCAATGGTATTAAAACCTCTTAGATTATACAAACTTATAAAACTTTCATCCACTTATTGATTGTTTGGTAGGTAAGAAATTGACATGCTTTTTTTAATGTTTCTTAAAACAGCAAATCTTTTGTTCTAACCTTAATTGGAAAAGGATTTTGATTTTGATGGTTGTTTGGGTTTCTTTCCTACTACTTCAAGTCATTAAGGTAAAATTCCTCTACTATTTCATATTAACAAACTTCACAAGTCTGTTTAATTTTCGCTGTTTTATAAAAATCTATTCGGTTTTCGTTTGCAGAATAACGCCAGGGTCTGCAGTGTGTGGTATTGGGTCCTTTTCTCCTTACAGGTATGATAATGCCAACAATTAGTACAATTAGTCACTAAACTTATCATGGAATGGAGTTAAGTTTAGCTCATATGTCCGAAACCGCTGTTACGTTGCGGTCGTGGAAGCATCAGAAACCGCAGAGCTTATTATCATGATGAGTTTTTCTTTGTTTCAGTTTCCTATTGCGCTTGTTGTGTTTGGCTATGAAGCAGTGAAATTGTACAAGGACTACAAGAAGAGGATGAGTACAGGAAATCTTGAATGTATCTGTGAAGCTTCAATTGAATGGACTGTGTTGCACATTGTGTTCTGTGCACTCTGTGGAATCTTAGGTGGGACAGTTGGAGGATTACTTGGCTCTGGTGGTGGGTTTATCTTGGGCCCTCTTCTCATTGAGATTGGAGTTATCCCTCAGGTAGGGTAACATATACATGCTCTTACACATGCAAATTTGGATCATATGCAATCACATTCATGCCTTTGTGAAACAGTTTAACTTTAAGCTAAAATTGTAAACAATTTAACTTTATAAAAGATGAAAATTGCAGGTTGCTAGTGCAACAGCAACATTTGTGATGATGTTTTCATCATCCTTGTCTGTGGTTGAATTCTACCTACTCAAGAGGTTCCCTATTCCCTATGGTATCTTTCATCAACTCTTCAAACTTAAATATCTTTCTAGTTTACCTTGACTTTAAGTAATCCTTGTCTGTTGTCAGTTATGTTCTGATTATCATATGAAAACATTGTATTTGTTTTTGCAGCATTATACCTCTTCACAGTGTCTGTTCTAGCTGGATTTGTGGGACAGTTATTTGTAAGAAAATTGCTTAGAATTCTCGGAAGAGCTTCGATCATTGTATTCATCCTTTCGGGGGTCATTTTTGCAAGTGCTCTCACAATGGGTAAACCAAATCAATTTCAATTGCACTTAAGTTTTAGTATAATACTTTGTAATACTGATACCTCTGAAAAAATATGTGTCTGAAAACATACACTTATGATTACGTTTTCTTATGATTATGTTTTCTTTCAGGTGTCATTGGCATTGAGAAGAGCATTCATATGATCCAGAACCATGAGTTTATGGGATTTCTAGGCTTTTGCAGCAGTCAATAGTTGTGCACATTATGGAGTCAATGTGAAAAAGCTTGTATAAATCAATTTGAAAGTAGGACAAAGTTAGCATTGATGAATGTTGGTCAATACTTAGTTGACTAACAAGAATAAATAAAGCTAGATTGTCCTAGAGTCTTTGAGTTAGTGTTAACTACTGGTTAACACTTATCTCATAATAGTGTGCAGCATTTGTGTGGTAAAAAGTATGTTGTGTTGTGTAGTGATTCAATGAATCTGTGATGGGACAAAAGCATGTGTATTCATTCAACGTTTATGTTTGTATGTGGCCAATTTCTTGTTGGCTACATTTGATTTGAAGGTCATTTTCTTGTGTAGTGAATAAACAAGGCGTGATTGCCTTCCCTTCTAAGGATTTGTGGTTGAATGTTATCTAGTCGCTAACAGTCTTCTCATGTATTGTTTGTTTGTTAATGACAAAATTGCAAATGATAATGTATACTATTTATTGGAATATACACAAAAACTAAATTAGCGAATTAATGGTGAAAGGTGGTTAATAAAAGAGAGAACATGAAAAATATAATACCAGGGGCAAGAATCAAGCCTGTGCCCTGGTACACTAACGCCTTTGCAATACTCGCTTCTACCGTTGGGGCAGCCTTACATCCGCTAACATAAATCAAACCATAAGAATAAATATAAAGCATGATTTTAATGGTCGGAGAGGCGCCGGAGCCCTAGCTCCGGTCGTCTTCTCCGGCGACCTGCACGACCCAAAACTTGTAAAATTGGAAAGTTAGTGATTCAAAACTTCCTAGTCCCCCTAATTCGACTCTCCTGAATTCAAATATGGACTTCGTTTTGGCTAAAAGTGCTTGCATCATGAGTTTTAAACCAAAAAAACCTAATTCGGTTCAGGCATGGCAAATCAATGTCCGGACGTCAAAAATTTCATGTAATGGTTGCAACCTGTCTTGAACATTCATATAAATTGTTTTGGATGGTTAGTAACTTTCAAAAATGCATGAAATAAAAAATACATGAATGACAAAAATCCAAAAATCAGTCAGGGTTTGTATTCATCTTTCAAGCGTCCAGGATCATGGTAACTGACCCAAACTTACCCTTCAATGTTCCAGGAAGTGAATGGGATCGAAGTTTTGGAATGATAGGGTTTGTAACACAAGTTTGAAACTCGAGGGTTTGAAAAAAAGTTTAGAAAATTTTGCAGTTTGTGAGGCAAGGATATGTGGTCATTACATCTGGTCTTGTTGTGTTTTTATAGAGGAAGGGAAAGATCAACAAATATGGGAAGAATCTCATGCCATCATGACCAATATTAGACAAGAATCAAACATGTTTTCAAACTTCTATTTTGAGAGATCCTTTCCATATGATCTCACACGATTTTTCATGGTTGTCATGAGTTGTCTTGGGCCTCCAACTGATCCAAAAAACCAATCATGCGCCTTGGCCCAATGATTTTATATTTTATTTGCATTTAAATAAATAAAAATTCAAATAAAAGAAAAATAAATCATAAAAAATATGTGAATGGATTTAGAGATCCTCTAACACATTGTGAAGATGTTTTAACATCAAAAGTTAGGCCCACTAGTTCAAAATTTCAAGTTTGCCCATTTTGCACTTCATGCATTTTCTCAAAATTTCCCAACTTTCATTGGCCATAACTCTCTCAACTTTCATCTTTTGAAGGTGATCTTAAACTTTTTGGAAATCTCAAGATGTCCTCTTAGATTTATCTTTTTATTATTTTTGCATTTGGAGAATTTATCTTGATGTAAGTTGCCTTGACAAAAAGTGTCTTTTTTTTTACTTTTGAAATGACATGTAATGTATTGGCTCATATTCTCAAACTAAGAAATTTTTGGACTTGAGCATACATATACAAAGTTGTAGAGAATTGAATTTAATTTAAAATGGGATTTTTTTGTGGAAAAGTTGATGAATCATGTGAAAGTTATGCTTCGTCAAAGTTCAGTTGACTTCTCCTAAGGAAACTCTAATTTGACAACTTTTGACTTTTGATGATTTTAGGGCTTTCCTTGAGGAATCATGATCAATCCTTGATTAAATGATGAATATCACTTAAAAATATTGATGTTGACCAAAAATCTTAAAGTTTGACTGTATGTTGACCATAGTTGACTTTTTACCCAATACAGGTTATTTCAGTCATCTGAGCCATTGACTAAGCAAACTTGTGATGAAAGACTTGAAACTTTACATGAAAATTATTGAAGACCTATGGAGAACCATGGAAACCACTTGATGCTTTTGAAATCCAATCTTCATTGGGAAACATAAAACCCTAGTTATGGACCCATTGCTTAGGAGGAGAATTTGTCTGATAAACTCTTGAGCATCCTTGAGCATTTGAGAATCCTAGAAGAATGTCTTGAAGAAAATGGGAAGACAAATTTTAGGGTACAACAGCTTCCCCTGTTCAATCTTCTTAAACCTGAAGAGTTAGATTAACATGTCTGTCATTCGTGACTTGAAGGTAAAAGATGATTGAACACTTAAGTGCCCCAAAATTTGCACTCGCACGTGCACCAAGTTACAATGTTGGTTGATTATACCGGAAATGGGCTTAAAGATATCATTTGGAGAGGTGACGGAGAGTCTTCGAAGATGGACTTATAGATGGCATCCAAGATAATGTTTATAAGAAAACCAGACTAAGTCTACGCCCGACTTTGTCTTAGAAGATGTGTTTGGAACGAGTCTAGGCTCGACTTTGTCCAAAAGAATAATCAGAATAAATCTACGTTTGACTTTATCTGAACCAGAAGATGTCTATGCTCGACTTCAACTAGGAGAGGTACCGAAAAGAGTTTACGCCTGACTTTTCCAAAAAGAGCATCAGAAAGAAATATATGTCTGATTTTATCCGAACTAGAAGATGTCTACACCCGACTTCAACTAGAAAAAGGTATCGGAAAGAGTCTACGCCTGAATTTTCCAAAAAGAGCATCAGAAAGAAATATACGCCTGATTTCATCCGAACTAGAAGATGTCTATGCCCGACTTCGACTAGGAGAGGTACCGGAAAGAATCTACGCCTGACTTTTCCAAAAAGAGCATCAAAAAGAAATATACGCCTAATTTTATCTGAACTAGAAGATGTATACGCCCGACTTCAACTAGAAAAGGTACCAGAAAGAGTCCACGTCTGACTTTTCCAAAAAAGAGCATCAGAAAGAAATCTACGCCTGATTTCATCCAAACTAGAAGATGTCTATGCCCGACTTCAACTAGAAAAGGTACCGGAAAGAGTCTACGCATGACTTTTCCAAAAAAGAGCATCAGAAAAAAATCTACGCCCATTTCATTCGAACTAGAAGATGTTTACGCCCGACTTCAACTAGAAAAGGTACCGAAAATAGTCTACACCTGACTTTTCCAAAAAGAGCACCAGAAAGAAATCTATGTCTGATTTCATCCGAACTAGAAGATGTCTACGCCCGACTTCAACTAGGAAAGGCGCTATTTTAGCATGACCTTCTAGAGGGGGTGTTTAAGTAGCTATTTTCCAGATATAGCCTCTGAGGAATCTGCTTGTAGATTTTTACTTGAAAAGATACAAAATTAACTGTATGCAATGTCATAATGTATGAAATACATTGCGTGATGATATTCTCAAAATAAGTGAGAGTGTGTTGTATGTATTTCGTATGCATATGCTATGATGTTTGTATATGATGTATGAATGTGAGATGTCGTTGAAGTGTATTAGTAACTTCGTGCAGCATCTTCGACTGGGAAAATAAATCCCTGATTGTTGTTGAAGAATATTAGTATCTTTAATCTTGATAGGGATTCCTGATTTTTGTTTGAGGAAACCCCGTTGGGGAACATTGATTTCTATTTGGGGAGAAGGGTTCAAGAAAATTGGTGGTTCATTGCTCTACTGGGGACTTTAATTCTTATATACCCTAACTGGAGATAAAAGAGATGGATAACCTCTCGAAGTGCCGTATGACTGAGTTTCTGATATGGATGTCGACTCGTCTGGAGAGGATAAGGTTAAACGATATATGGGCCTTTTGTAGCAAATCTAGGGGGTTAGTGGTATGGATTTCCCTTTACTGGAGAGAGAAATTTTTTCGATGATATGTAGTAGTTAGAGAAATAGACTCAATTTGGGGAGATTGGACTCCGCTGGGGAAATAAATCCTACTTGGGGAAATAAACCATGTTGGGGAAGTAAACCCTAAAATTTGACGGAGGAATACTCTGCTGGTGAAATACCCTTGTTGGGGAAATGAGCTCTGCTGGAGAATATGAGCCTTGCTGGAGAAAGGGAATTATGTAGGGGGTTTTACAATGTTGGAGAAATAAACTCAATCGGGGAAGAGAATTTCCATAAAATGTACCGATGCCATAATCTCTGATGGAGATTGGGACTCTGTAGATTGGCGACATTGCTGGGGAAAAGATCATATTCCCTTATCCGCTAGGGGGATCTGCTGGTGAAATATATCTTTGTTGAAGATGAGCTTGTTAAGACTACTCTGTGGGGATAATCTTGTGAGGATTTATTTTCTGTGGGGATACGTGGATGACTTGAACATTATCCAAACTACTAGAGTCTTGAGCAAATGCTTATTCCTGTTTTTATGCATATATTTGTTAACACTAATTGTATTCATATGTGTAACGCCTGTTATTTAATTAATTATTTAATTAATTATTTGTTGAAGTTGTGAGATGTGGGAAATTATTGGTATAAGTTGTTAGATTATTATTAATTAATTTATTAGTTAATTAATAATAATAATAATGTTAGAATTAATAGAATATTCGCGTTGGGCCTATTTTATTGGTTGGAAGTAGTAAAGTGGGGAGTGTGAAAGTTAAGCCCAATAGGATTAATGGTATAAGGTTAGGCTGACACAAGGATTTGGTTATTTGGTAGAATAAGAAGTCTTGTGTGTGACTGTGTGAAGTTGCACAAAAGAGGATCAAGGTTGCACAGTTGTCGAGAAAAGTTGCATGGTTGTCGAGAAAGGCAA